AGTGTAGACAGCTGGCAAGTTATTCCGGAAAAGCGACTGCAAAATCTGGGGGGGGGGATGCTCTAGCACCCCCCACACCACTACTTCCTGCACCAATGCTGGGGTGGTGGGGTGACGCCAGACTGGAGAAGCCGATTGGTTCTGCAATTCCAGGCTGGAAGGGCCATGGGTCTCACTGAGGGAGGATGCGGGGGGAATACCAGCCTCCTCACTCACTTGCCCCTCTGTGTGAGGGCTCTGGGATGCAGCCGTACCAGGCAGGGGTCTCTCTGCCATGGTCCCTAACATGAGATAGACAAGAGAGATGGGTTAGAGGGGAGGCTTCACCAGGACTCATGGCCTGGGAGGCGGGTAAGAAGAGAACTCACCTGCCTTGCTCAGCACTGCCTGGGCCCTCCTGGGCACCAGCTCCCAGGGGGCCCAGCACTAAGTCGCTGTCTGCGTCCTCCTCTTCCACCTGCACACGGCCTTCAGTGCCCCCCACCGCTGGGCCCTCACTGCCCTCCTCCTCCTCTCCTCCCTCCTCACCCCCTTGCCGCCCCACCAGGCCTTCCTCCTCCTCGCTGCCCTCCTCCTCCTCTCCTCCCTCCTCACCTCTTTGCCGCCCCACCAGGCCCTCCTCCTCCTCGCTGCCCTCCTCCTCCTCTCCTCCCTCCTCACCTCTTTGCCGCCCCACCAGGCCCTCCTCCTCCTCGCTGCCCTCCTCCTCCTCTCCTCCCTCCTCACCTCTTTGCCGCCCCACCAGGCCCTCCTCCTCCTCGCTGCCCTCCTCCTCCTCTCCTCCCTCCTCACCTCTTTGCCGCCCCACCAGGCCCTCCTCCTCCTCGCTGCCCTCCTCCTCCTCTCCTCCCTCCTCACCTCTTTGCCGCCCCACCAGGCCCTCCTCCTCCTCGCTGCCCTCCTCCTCCTCTCCTCCCTCCTCACCTCTTTGCCGCCCCACCAGGCCCTCCTCCTCCTCGCTGCCCTCCTCCTCCTCTCCTCCCTCCTCACCTCTTTGCCGCCCCACCAGGCCCTCCTCCTCCTCGCTGCCCTCCTCCTCCTCTCCTCCCTCCTCACCTCTTTGCCGCCCCACCAGGCCCTCCTCCTCCTCGCTGCCCTCCTCCTCCTCTCCTCCCTCCTCACCTCTTTGCCGCCCCACCAGGCCCTCCTCCTCCTCGCTGCCCTCCTCCTCCTCTCCTCCCTCCTCACCTCTTTGCCGCCCCACCAGGCCCTCCTCCTCCTCGCTGCCCTCCTCCTCCTCTCCTCCCTCCTCACCTCTTTGCCGCCCCACCAGGCCCTCCTCCTCCTCGCTGCCCTCCTCCTCCTCTCCTCCCTCCTCACCTCTTTGCCGCCCCACCAGGCCCTCCTCCTCCTCGCTGCCCTCCTCCTCCTCTCCTCCCTCCTCACCTCCTCTTCGCCCCACCAGGCCCTCCTCCTCCACACTATCCTCTTCTCCTCCCTCCTCACCCCTTTGCTGCTCCACAAGGCCTTCCTCCTCCTCCTTCTCCTCCTCCTCCTCTTTTTCCTCCTCACCCCCTCGCTGCCCCACCAGGCTTTCCTCCTTGCTGCCCTCCTCTTCCTCACTCCTCTGCTCCTCTGCTAGACCTTCCTCATTCTCCATCTCCTCCTCCTCACCGCCTGTCTGCCCCCACATCAGGCCTCCTTCTGCCTTGCTTCCCTCCTCCTCCTTGACCCCCTGATGCCCTGCCAGCCGTTCCTCCTTCTGGCCCCCCCACTGCACCAGGCCTTCCTCCTCCTCCCCCCCATTTACTGATGCTTGGACATGCTCCAAGGCTGAGCCATCCTCTCTTCCCCTCCCCTCTTCCTCCTGCTCCTCCCCTGCCCCTCCAGAGCCTTCCTCCCGTTTGCCCTTCTCATCCTCCTCCCTTGCCTCCTGGCCTTCTTTCCCCTCCTCCCTCTCTTGGCCTTCCAACCCTCCTGCCAGACCTTCCTCCTCCTGGGACTGTCCCTCACCTCCCTGCCCTTTGTCCAGCTGCCTTGCTCCCTGGATGGGGACAAGCCCCCTCTCTCCCTTCAGCTGCATTCCCTCTCTGCGATGCCTGCTCCCCTCTGGCTCTGTCGCTCTGACCCTCAGCCCCTGCCTGGGCTTCCCCTGAGACTCCTCCGGCCTGTCATCCCCTGCCTGCGCCCCCCCGGGCTGCCGTCCCCAGCTCCACCTCTGAGCCAGGGCTGTCGTGTCTCCCTCTGGCTTCTCCTTGCACCACAGTCTTGGGACCCTAGGGAGGAGAGAGAGACTGCAGGTCGAGCACAAGATGAGACTGCTGGGCTCAGCTCATGTGGCCCACCCCAAAGGCACCTACATCTTATCACAGAGAGAGATCCCCGTATAAACTGCTCCTGGTGCCCCACTACGGGGCTACCTGCATCTCAGTGTGGGGCTATAAACAGCCCTGTTCCCCTCCCCCCGAGGGGGCTGCATTTTAGGGTGGGTGGTGATGCACCATCCCCTGGGGTTCTCTTCTATGACTGGGATCCTTAGGGGGGATTCCAGGGAGGTACCTGACCCGGAACTCCTCACAAGCTGTTTCCATGCAGTCCCGCGTCCAGGCTCCTCTCCTCAGCAGTGTCCCGGAGGCTCCGTTAGCTGCCTGGTGTCGGTGCCCCACCCCAGAGCTGGTGGCATCTGCAGTGCGTGCCCCAGCTCCAGCATGAGCCCTGGTCTGCGTGGGCTGGGGATGAGCCCCTGGAAGGGAGGGGAATGCAGCTGGGTCTAAGGGCAGGGTACAGGCTGCAGCTGCCGGGCTGGGCATGGCCAGTGAAGTGCCTGGTCCTTTCTCAGATCAGTGCCACAGAGCAGCAATGGTGCCAGGCCCAGGAGAGACACAAAGGCCCCAAGCAGCTCACTTCTAGCACTGGGCCTCCTCCCCGCATCCACAGACCCCTCCCACCCCCACATACTTCTACAGCCGCCCCCAAACGTTGCCCCTTCCCACAGCCCCCTGAGCCACCTTCTCACCACTCTGCAAGGCTTCTTTGGCGTGGCCTTTATCCAGTCTCCTGGGAGGGCCCCTCTTTCTCTGCCAAACCCCAAGCTCAGCCTTTCCCAGGGCGAATGCCACAGCTCTCCGGCTCCTTCCGCCTCCCGGCCTGTTTGTCTCTGTGTGCACTGAGCTCAGACCCCGGAGGCTTCCACCCAGCTGCTGCCTGGCCCTCTGAAGCAGGTCCCACTGCTCACCAGATTGTGCAGTCAAATGGCAGGTGCCAGGGGCTCACACTGTGGACTTGGGATGTTTCCAAAGGCCCGACTGCTTGTGGCTGACCCCTGTGGGGCTCAGCAGAGGGAGCAGGGCCATGTGTGGGGCTGCCACTGTGATGGGAGCCATTGCACAACAGGGCAGGGCTCGCTGCTCTGGCTGCTGGGTCATGCCTGGGGGGACCAGACCCGCTCAGGCTGTGGTTAGCGGAAGGGGAGCCGCGCAGCACGGGCCGTTTGGCAGACGAGATCATAAAGACGAAGTCCAGGTCTGAGAACAAAACAAAGGTGGGGACTGGCCCACGTTGGGTTGCCAGATGGTTTCAACAAAAATACCGAACACCTCCTCCCCCCAAAAAAAACACCAGGGAAAAAATTCTGTTGGGGGGGAAGGGGGGAGGGAAGGACCCCAAGAGTTATTAAGAATAAATACATAAATAAAATAAACAGCATCAAAACAGAATGGCCCTTTTAATTGCATGCTGAGTCAGAATAGGGCTAGGAAGCGGTTGAGCACTAAGACCCAGGGAAGGCATTGCTTCCCCTTGCTCAGGTCTTTAGCTTTTTTGCCATGGCCATTTTGTTTTCTTGGTCGAGCCAGAAGGGAGCTTCCCTGCATAAGCAGAGGGGCTGGGGCGGGGAGACCAGGGGCTGGGCCCAGTTGCTGAGTGTTGTAGGGTTGCCAGGTGTCCAGTTTTTCGCCTCCTGGCAGGGAAAAAACCAGAAAATACTGGACATTTCACGTGTTCGGTATTTTCTGTTTTATTTTTTTTTACCAGACAAGAGGTGAAAATACAGCCTCTTCCCAACTTACGAACCGGTTACGGACCAAGCAATTGGTCATAACTCGATTCGTTCATAAATCAGACCCTATGTTGTTCCACGCGACCGCGCTGTTTGTCAGCATGGATTGCCTTCGTAACTCGGGGTCTGCCATTTACGACAGCTTCGGTCGTAAGTGCGAATGGTCAGAAGTCGACTGTTCGCAACTCGGAGACTGGCTGTACTGGACACCTGGCAGCCCTACGGCCCAAGTTGGGGCCACACAAGATGGTCACTTGGAGGTTTCCCACCAGCAGGATTAGGGCAAATGTGAACTGGTGGAAGTGGCTGGCACCTGATGTGGGTTGGCACCTGTGGAGGAATCCCAGAGGCCTCGGGAGCAAGGCTGCAGCTGAACGGGGCATGAGTGGGCAGCAAGCAGGTCAGTCTAGGGGGTGCAGCTGTGGCTTGCAATGGGGTAACTTAATGGAAACCCTACTGGAGGGATGCTCCACCAGCCTTGGGGGGCCTGGACAGACCTGTGGCTCAGCAGGAGAAGGCCCCTGGGTAACCCACGTGGGGTGACGTGCCCATAGCTGGACTGGATGGGAGGAGGCCCATGGTGCCAAGGCAACTCCCCTCTGCTCGCATGGAGCAGCCTGGATCAGTTTGGGCCCAAAGGGGGGCTGGCCCCTGCTTTAGGTGCCTGGAGTGAAGATGCTTTGATATGGAGGGCTGGGGAGGGGCCTCGGTGAGGTGTATAAACCCCATTCTGCCACAACCATTAAGGGCAGACTAGCCCCCTGCCCCCTCTCCTTGGCTAACTGGCCAATCAGTGGCTTGGGACAAGAGGCCAACAACCCCAGGCTTGGGAATGGGGGTAGGGGGGTTGCCAGCAAGGAGCAGGGTTTCCCAGTGTCGAACTGAGGGGGCAGGAGCTGAAATTCCTGAGGGTTCGGGGGAGGCCAGCTCACAGGGCTGGCCCCTGGGTGGAATAGGGCAGAAGGATTTGTGGGCAGCAGGAGCTAGAAGGCTGAGCCACCTCTGAAAGGCCAAGGGACTGAGCCCCCGCCCTGGCACAGAATTCCAGCTGCCCCTAGGGTTGCCAGATGGTCTCTCAAAAAATACTGGACACGTGGACAGGCTGGGAGCCTGTGATTGCACAGAAGCCTAGTGGGGGCGGGAGGAGTGGTTGGGAGTCCAAGCCACTCCCCTTGCCCCCGCCAGGCTTCCGTCCGGTGCATAGCCGGAAAAATCAGAGAATATTGGACATTGCACATGTCCGGTATTCTCTGATTTTTTTTTTACCGGACAAAAAGCGCAAATACCGGACTGTCCGGTAGCATCCTGGACACCTGGCACCCTGGCTGCGCACGCTGCCTTTCCCAGGCTGAGCTGACCCTGGCATGGAGGTGACTAACCCACATCTGGACAGGGCAAGACCCTGTCCATCCAGGTGGACTTGTGGGGAGAAGGGGCCTTTGGGCTCTAGCCGCTCTGCAGAGGCAGAGAGCTGCGGCACTCGCCCTTGGGAAATGTGGCAAAGAGGTCGGGCTCCTCCCAGGAGACGGGATGAAGGCTGGGCAATCGAACCCCTGTGGATTGGACCCACCCCACCCCCCAGAGAGTCCTCTTAGCCCCCCAGCTACCCCACACCTCATCCTTGCCTTCTGGAACCCCTTCTCCCAACATCCTCACTCCCCTCCGTGCTGCATGAACATGGCCGGTGTTGGTTCCTGGTGCCAGCCTCTGGGCCCCATACTCAGTGTGCTGCACCCTCCATGTGCCCACCCTCTATGCTCCACTTCTCAGGACAAGCCCCTGGGCCCTGCCACCAGGATCAGCTCTCTTGCTGCGTGCACCAAAGGGACGTCTGGAACGCTGCCTCCCGGGGGCCCCGGCCCTCACCCACATGGGCTCACCAGGCACACCCTTTGATTCAGCCGGGATGGGGAACCTGAGCCAATGTGGGAGGAGAAGTGGGGATGGCTCCTGATGGGGCTTAGGAGCAGGTGTCCTGTAGCCATGGTCCTTGGCAACCGGTCCTCTGTGGGGCCAGGGGGTGTAACGGAGGCCCCCTCTGCGCCGGGCTGCTGGGGGCAGAGAAGAGACATCAGCGGGGACAGGACGACCCAGGAGTCTGGACTTGCTGGCCAGGCAGCACTGAGCAGGGAGAGGAGGAGGATCCAGGAGTCCCAGGCCAAGTGGCCCAGAACTGAGCCAGGGCTATTTCCTTACCCTCTGGGGGCCCAGCCCCACCTGCCCCAGTGGACGCAAGGAAGGCAGCAGGCTCTGGGGACTGTGTGGGGGAGACAGGATGAGGCCCTGAGGTCCGGCACTGGAGATGGTCCATCCACTGGGGGGGGTCAGGGAGGTGTCTCCTGAGGTGCGAGTGCAGAGGCAGGTCCAGCATCTGGGCAGAGGCCCAGTCCTGAGGAGGGGGGGAAGAGAAATCAACCAAGAGTCTAGGGGATTTCAGAGTCCATCATGCCTCTAAATGGAGTCAGACCAGACCAGTGCTTGGGAGAGGGGGAGCCCCCATGAACTGCAGGGTGGGGGACTGCAGCAGGGTGGGGGGGATGCTCTCCCCTCAGTGCTGGCCCCAGTGCCCCAGCACTCTGGTGCCAACTCCTTCTCACCCAGGAGGCAGGAGGTTTAGCGGCAGGATGTGCCTACCTGGTGCTGAGGGACCTGGCTTGGGCTCCCTGCCTCCATCCTCAACTGTAGCAGCAGCCGCTGCAGAAATTCCTGATAGTCCACCTTAGAGGAGCAAGATGCAGATGCAAACATCTGTCCTTGCTCCCACAGGCCCTGCCTGGACCTCCTAGGGCTGAATTCCTTCCCCTGCGGCTTGGCATCTTCCCGTCCCCTGCAATTACTCCCCCCACCCACTCTCCCTGGTGGCACTAAAGTCATCCTCCTTCTGGGAGGCTAGAACCCAGGAGCTCTCTGCAACAGACAGACACACGCCCTCAGCCCCACTTCCCTCCGAGGGCAGGGGACTGAAGCCAGGTGTCCTGACTCAGTCTATTTCCCCCTGGGGGAGCTGTCCCCTGTCTGGCTGTGACTCTCCCCGGCCTGGGGTGCCCTGCAATCAGCACAGTGTCCAAATGCCAGAGCCCCTCTCACCTTCCTCCTCCTGACCATGTCTGTCCTGGCCCAGAGCAGCCCCAGCTGGGTCTCTAGGTGCCCGAAGTCCTGCAGCAGCTGGCGGTTCCGGTCCCGTGCCTGGCGCTCCCGCACACACAGCTCCTGCCATACCCGGCACAGCTCAGCTGCCTGTGCCCTGGGGCTGGGGGTGAGGCAGGGTTGGGTCAGCTCCCACCTGGGGCTGTTCCCTAATACACAGCACCCATGGGAAGCACCTGGGGCCCTGCTTGCCCAGCCCTGACAGTGGGGGGTCACCTTGCACTTATCCTGTCAGCTCTACCCCCATCCTGCCAGCAGTGCCCCTCCAAATCCGCACCACCCTGCCCTGCACAGAGAGATGCAGCAGCCCCCTCCCCCAAATGGGGATAGCTGCAGGCTGGGTGGGTTGTGCGGGTCCGTGGACAATGGAAAGATTCATAGGTTGGTGTCATGATTATGAGGGTTAGCCAGCAGCCTGGGGATTAAGGGGTAAACTACACCTAGCCAGGTGGAGTGACCAATAGGAATGTAGGTGGGACTTTCAAACTAGGACAAAGGAATTTGGGTTTTTTCCTTTCTCCCTTTTGTCTCTCTGGGGGTATGTCTACACTACGCTCCTAGTTCGAACTAGGAGGGTAATGTAGGCATACCGCACTTGCAAATGAAGCCCGGGATTTGAATTTCCCGGGCTTCATTTGCATAAACTGGGCGCCGCCATTTTTAAATCTCTGCTCGTTCGAACCCCGTGCCGCGCGGCTACACGCGGCACGAACTAGGTAGTTCAGACTAGGCTTCCTCCCCTCTAGGCTTCCTCCCCTCTAGGCTTCCTCCCACGAACTAGGTAGTTCAGACTAGGCTTCCTAGTCCGAACTACCGTTACTCCTCGTGGAATGAGGAGTAACGGTAGTCATTCCACGAGGAGTAACGGTAGTTCGGACTAGGAAGCCTAGTCTGAACTACCTAGTTCGTGGGAGGAAGCCTAGAGGGGAGGAAGCCTAGAGGGGAGGAAGCCTAGTCTGAACTACCTAGTTCGTGCCGCGTGTAGCCGCGCGGCACGGGGTTCGAACGAGCAGAGATTTAAAAATGGCGGCGCCCAGTTTATGCAAATGAAGCCCGGGAAATTCAAATCCCGGGCTTCATTTGCAAGTGCGGTATGCCTACATTACCCTCCTAGTTCGAACTAGCGGGGTAGTGTAGACATACCCTGGGTGAGTTCTCCGCAGCTACAAAGAGGGACAAGCATGTCTCTCTCTCTCCCAGACACCATTCTTCATTTTCTGTAAGTAGTATAAAGTTTAAGTAGTTTCGTTAGGCTTTATTGTTTTAAGGATTGGGTATGGGATCTGGGATCTGGCACTGTTTAAAAGATGTTTTGGCTTTTCTTTGTAACTAAGTTCTAGGCCCATGGAATTTCTCCATGAGTATATTTTGTTACCTTCCCATCTAGTCATTATACTTGCAACAGGAATATTGTTGTAATAATAAAAGTTCTTTCTTTTCTTTTATTAACCTGGAAGTGGTTAATTGTGTGCCCTGATTCTTATTTTAGGGGTGAGATTTCCCAAATGATCTTTCCCCTGATTTCTTTATCAACATTTGGGTGGTGGCAGCGGAAGTTTTATTCCCAAGATCTAGGTTTTTTTAAGATTTTGGGGGAAGTTTTATACCAAAGCCTGGTAGATAAGGCTTTGGGGTACACTTGCTGGCCTCCACTTCTGCATTTATCATGCCAGAGTGGGGAAGGAGCCATGACAGCTGGTTCACAAATGTTACATCCAGAAGCCTCTGGCTGGCCTCTTGGAAGACCCAGGCCAGGGAATGTCCCCTGAATATCCAGCACTTGTCACTGAGCCTAGGGGATGGGAGTGGCATCGGGCAGCAGCTCTGGTCTCTGCTGGGGGAGGGGAGCAGGCCAGGTTGTGGGGCGGTGGCCTTAGAGGAGGAGAGCAGTGCTGGTCTCTATGGGTGACTGGGCTGTGGGAAGGGGGTTGTTCCAGTCCATTTGGAAGGAGTGCTGGAGGGGGGCAGTGCTGGTCTGTCTGGTTGGGTGCAGGGAGATTGTTGCAGTGGGGTGGGGGCTCTTCAGGGTTTTGTGGAGGTGGTGGAGCTGTTCTGGGGCAGATGGGGCTGTGCTGGGTTCTGGGGAGGGGAGGGTATGCTGTGCACATGGGACTGTGCTGGGTCCTATGGGGGTGGGGGCTGT